ACTGCTGAGGATTAGAGGTTTCATTATCGGCATTTTGAATTTTTGGTGAGGATTAACGTGACCGGAAGAACTATCAAATCCTAAAGTGCAAGTTAATTCCAATTTATATAAGGCTTCGTCGCTCCAGTCCAAAGCAACGCTTTCACATAGTCTTTCAACCGATTTATTTAAAATGTTTTGAAGAGGACAAAAACTTCTATCTCACGTACTTTACAATTTTTAGGCTGACATTCTACCATTGCCTTTTTGATGATACCATAACTGGGGTATATCGGACAATTTCTAAAAATGGCATCACTAACTAAAGCTTTATATCCTTCAACAGAATAATCATATTCTAAGAAAAATGCGAAGGCTGAGTCCTTTGTATGCCGAATAACATTAGTATTTTCTGCAGTTTTTTGATAATCCGTATCGACTTTCATCACATTTTTTACATCTTCTATATCATTTAGTTGATGCCTTAATTTTTTAGCTCGTTTTTGTAATGTTCTTACATTAGCATTTTCGAGTTTCACCATTTTTCTACCAGTATTAACGCTTTTTTTTGTTACCTTTTTTGGACGGCCACGATTTGTTTTATTTTTTCGTTTCATGCTACACGTGTAATATTTAGTATAATATCATATCATATCGATCAAAAATTGTAATGAACTTACCTTAGCTGGTAAGATGTTTTTCAAATAGTTTAAATATGTTAATCCACTTTTAGAGATAAAACGTTTAATAAGTATTCTAATTTTATTTCCTATGCTACACTGTTGCTGTTTATGTGACCAATGGAAAAGTATGGTGGTTAAATTTTTTTATACCCGAGCGCACTTGTGCACAAGGTATATTAATTTTGTTCACATAACGGTTGTTTGTAACAGCCAAAACGAATCGAGATAGATATAGACAAATGTATACATAAATGTCAGAATGAATAGAGAAGTCGATTAAGCCATGTCCGTCTGTCCGTCCGTCCAATTCTTCCAAACTTGGCACAGTTGTTGACCTTGATACAGCATACTAAATGGCGAATTTAAACGGACAAACATTCCATACCAAATTCTCAAATTCATGTTGATTGAACATACTAAGGCCGAAATAATCGACAAAACCCACATCCCATATAACGGTAATTTTCAGAAATACGAAAACTCGATATTTTAGTAACTACTGAAGATAATTCACTCAAAATTGATATTTACAATAAATTTCAGACGAAAAATAAGAATATTATAAATTTTTGGAAAATGGGCGTAGCCACGCCCACTTATGGTTACATGTGCATATCTTGGTAACCGCTGCACCAATTTCTTCCAAACTTGGCAACAGTTGTTGGCTTTGGTACAGCATACAAAATGGCCGAAAATTTACAAAATCGGACAATAACCACGCCCACATTCCATATAACGGTAATTTAGAGAAGATACAAAATCTTCGATAAATCAGAAAATATTAAAGCTAATTTATTCAAAATTGATGCTTTACCAAGAAATACCTTTATGGTAAAATTTTGGAAAATGGGCGTGGCACCGCCCACTTATGATCACATATATGTATATCGGTAACCGTTATACCAATTTGTACCAAACTCGGTATTTTTTTGTCTTTGCAACATAAAAGCAAAACGCAAGCACTGAAAATTTATTAATGTATTTAATGTTCGGCTCCGCCCGAACTTAGATGACCAAATCCTACAAGGCCATGGTACAACAAATACGGGAAATGTGGCAAGGAGATGTTTGCAATCCCCCGAATTATTTGCCGAAGCGTTAGAAATCAACCCTTAATTAGTTATTAATATGAGCAGAATAATATCAGCCTTTAAATCTAAAAAAAACTCGATTTAGATAGGCTTGAAAAATTTAGTTGGAAAACATACTGCATGTACTACAGTTCTACCCATGGGCCCGAATGGCTCCCACATTTCACAAGCTTTTAAAGCATGGATGCGAAATTGCTCGGCAGCTTCCTGTGGCATTCTATGCCGAAGACGCCAACGAATCCTGGCATAAATACTACAGAAAAAATATGGTGGATCACGCTCGACAAAACAGCAGAGAAAACCGTTTACTGGATGTATTCAATCGGGCCGTGTACATGAGCGACCCGAAAATATCTATGGTTTTCATCGACCGTAGAGTGGGAAAGGATAACAGAATGAAATCAGAATTTCAGAATATACAAGAATTCGTTATTATATGAAAATTTTTGCGAAAAATTTTAATAGCGTTAATATAAAAATATTGTTAACTTTATGAGATAAGCGTTTATGCAATTCTGTACATATGTATATTTGAACTTCGCACGTTTTACTATGTATGTATATAAAATGAAAAAATGAAATACATGCTAGCATTATAAATTTAACATGCATTTCCCTAAATGTGAGCCTTAATATGTAGTTGATTTCTTTTATTTTATTTTTTTGTTTCCAATGATATACTGTTGCTGTTTATGTGACCAATGGTGGTTTAATTTTTTTTTTTTAATTTTCAGAGTACAAATCTCGATATCTCACTTTCCAAGTGTGGCTTTAAAGTCGTTATAATGTGACTGGGACCATCAGTGTATTCGAATATCCGGATATCCGTTCGAATATTCGTGAATACCGATACAATCCGAATAGTACGAATATCCGGTTATTATACGTTAATTTTGTTATCCGCATATGCAATTAATATGACTAATATTGTTATCCGAGTATTCTTAACATCCCTATATCTATACACTTTGTATTGCGTTATTCGAATATAAACCCACTATTCGTTTATCCGGATATCCGACTAATATTCGTTCGATATCCGGGTATTCTAAACATCCGGATATCTATAGACCATTGGATATTTGAATATAAATACTCTACTCGGTTATCCGGATACCTATACACTATTCGGATATTCGGATTTTTTATTCAGGTATTCGAAATCCGGATAGTCAAAACATCTAGTTAGAACTCCCAGCCCTAGTATGCATAATTAATGGAAAAAAATGTGGTAGATAGTATTTTTTTTTAATTTACAGAGTAAAAATCTCGAGGTTTGACATGAAAATAGTTATAATTTGGCTCTCGGAGGGTCTTGAGATTTGTTGTATATCTCAAATCAAAGGCCTTGTTTATCACTACAACCTACTTGCTCTTTGAGGCATTTAATTACGTGAAAAATATGCATAGTTGGAAGAAAATTATAAAAAAGTGTAAAAAAAAACATACCAGGGCACCATCTTTTTCTTAAATTTATGACTAAAATTTTTATTTATTTGGTTTTTAAAATAACGGGATCATATTGCTCGTCTCAAAATCTATAATATAGACATAACAGAACATAAATTTTTTATTTGTTTTTAAGAAATCCGGTGGGTTTCGCATGTTTTTTTCGAAGAACACGATTTTTGACCAATTTTTTCAGGTTCAAAAATAAATTGTGGGACCATGGCAATATTTTTCGTTGAAAGAGAAATTCATAAACTTTCCACCCCAATTTGATTCATATCAAAATGTTGCTTCTACCGGAAGCGCTACGATTGATTCGCTAAGAATGGTCAAAAAGCACACTGTGCGCCGCCGCGCTGATATTTTCGTAACTCGGCGGCGGCGCGTGAGGAATGACAAAAAACGGCGGCGGCGGCGGCGTGGCTCGGCGGCGTATACCTCTAGTGTATATCTGCCATGAAAAATAGCTTCTCATAAAAATACAATCGCCGTTCGGAGTCGGCGTAAAAATGTAGGTCCCTCCGCTTTGTGTGACAACATCAAGGCGCACGCCACAAATCGGAGGAGAAGCTCGGCTAAACACTAGCATATGTGTAAGCGCCAATCTATTATTATTATAATTATTATTATTATGTATTTCATCACAAGTTTTCGAAAACTAATTACAAAATGTTTTAACTCATAAAATATCCATCTCGTCACAAAAAAATATATATATTTTAAAAATATTTCTTTAAAAACTTCCGTTTTTATGAAGCATGTTTTTATAGAGAATTAAACAAGGATTACGATGGTGTAATTTTAAATCCTTAATTTACTGAGCTTCACTATGCCAATCAACTAATTTTAAATCCCTAATTTACTGGTCTTCACTATGCAAATCAACTTCAAAAAGTTCAACTGTTAATAGCTAAGTTAGCTTTAGGAAAATCGTGACCATCTTATATACAGAAATATTAAGCTCATTTCTTTAGCTTTAAAACGACGTTAAGATGAAGTCTCTACGATGAGTAGAACCCGAGATCAACGATTTTAAGAAGTACATGATAAGTCAGAAACATGAAAAATCAAAACTTTGACAAGTCATATCTCCGAAAAAAAAAAAAAAGAAAAAATAATCCTTGATTACGTGTTATCTTATTTTATGTATAGAACCCATAAAATAATTTGAAACCAATCGAATGTGTGGCACCAAATCTAGTGTCCGATATGAAAACGAATGCCTGTTATATAAAATATAATGTCAAATATAAGACCTTTTTTTAAAGTATATCTTGCTTGGATTAATCCCTGGACCTTTTTCTATATATATTTGTACTAGGTTTCATATCTAAAAACTTTTTACACAAGCACTAAAATGCGGAAAATGTGTTAGTTAACTGCCAAAAAAAGGCTTTTTGAGAACCAGAAGGTGAGTGGAAAAGCGGGGAAGCCATGTAGAGGATTAGATATAAAATGTTCTCAAAAATCGAAGTGAATATACATACTCCCATCGGTGGTTCAATCTAATAATTTTTTTAGTTTAAAGCTTCAGTGCGTATTCATGTGAAGCAAAACAGATTTATCGTATTTTGATAAAAAGCGGTTTAGAATTCAGAGTAACCAATGTATTTCCTTCATTTTCATCGTATTCTTCTGAATTTATCATTTTTAAAAATTAAAAAAATAAAGCTTCTCCGATGCTCATATGTCTAGCTATAAGCTTGGAAATTGGAGAAGAAAAATGTGCCTATTCAAGTGAATTCGGGGTGTATTTTGAATTTTATTATTTGTTTTTACTAATATGTATTTATTCTAGGGAAGTGCACTTTCATGTACCTTAGATCTTCTTCAGGTTTTAGTCCAAACTAATTTACCTAATTTGGAATACAGTTCTTTGCTTAAAAAACTTATGGACCCAATAATTATTGAAAATGAACAGCTACATAAACAGGCACATCATTCACTAGCTAAATGTATTGCAGCACTTACTCTAAAATGCCCCTGGGAAGCAATTCCTCTGGCGGTGCGACTTCTTGATTACGTTCAAAAATCAAACGTATCTAGTGATTCTAAACTGAGCTTCTGTCTTCTAACAATCGGAGAGATTGGGCGAAATTTTGATTTAAGTAGCATTTTTGCTTTGCCGCAAACTTTAATTGAATGTTTTGGAGCTGGCTCTGAAGACGTAAAAAGCGCCTCAAGTTTGGCTTTAGGTGCGGTTGCAGTTGGAAGTTTAGATTCATACTTGCCACTTATACTCAAAGAAATCGAAGGACAACCAAAGCGGCAGTACTTATTACTACATTCTTTAAAAGAAGTAATTTCATCGTTATCTGTTAGCCAATATGGACTTTCCCAATTATTACCATCTGTTCCAACAATATGGACACAACTTTTTAAACATTGTGAGAGTTCAGAGGAAGGGTCTCGAAATGTGGTTGCAGAATGTCTTGGAAAGCTTGTGCTCGTTAACCCAGCAGAACTGTTACCGTTGCTCCGCGATGCTCTTTACTCGGATAATGCAATTATGAGAGCCGTAGTAGTATCTTCAATAAAATATACCATATCCGATCAACCACAAACAATTGACCACTTATTAAAACAAAATTTGGGTGAATTCCTCTCATCACTTCGTGATCCAGACCCAGGAGTCAGGAGAGTGGCATTGGTCACTTTCAACGCTGCAATACATAACAAACCTACATTGGTACGAGAACTCTTGCCATCTTTGCTGCCTCTTTTGTATTCAGAAACTAAAATAAAGGTATATTATACTGCATCTCATATATTTATGTATAGCATATGCGTACATATGGGCAAATCTAAAAATACAGGCAACTTTTGTGTTATTTAGCTTTATTTTCTTTGTTTTAAACTATGTCAACCTTGTTTCTTTTGGATACAATTCATACACGTATACTTGAAGCTTCCAAAAAATTTTTGAATTACTTTGTTGAATAACTTTTGAATTACAGTCCTTAAGTTAAAAAAAAAACTAAAAATAATAAAAACAAGGGAATTTTTCATGGACATAACATATCGGAAAAATGTTGTTCCATAACAGTTATTAGGTGAGAAATATTTTTTATTTCGTCAATAAGAGTTATAACCCACCGTTTACTTTTACTAGGGTAGACAAAAACTCGGAGTTCGACCGATCGAGCGAGCAAACTCCTACTCAATACCTCGTATACGTATACTTACGTATGTGTATGTATACATATGTATGTAGATACGGGAAAATTTGCGTAAACAAAGAATAAAGGCCGTCCAAATACAACCTCGGCGTTGCGTCGGCGTTGAATTTCAATGCAGCCGTCCTAATAGCCAAAATTTGGCAACGCTAACCCCAACACAAAACAGAAAGATAGCTAACTCTCAACTTTTCGCGCCGGTCGTTCGTCAGCTGTTGCAAATAAATAAAATTATGTGAAATAGTTTCCTCCTTTTAATCAAATAAGGGCTAGAAACATCGTTTTTCATGCAATTATTGATATTAATTTATCTGTCGTTAAGATGTTAATTTAGTGGCCAAAGCATTCGCTGCCAAGCTTCATTGCAGCAAGCATACTTTTAACGTGCGTTCTGTCTGACCAACGCCAACGCGAAAGTTCTATGTGGACCGACATAAAGAGTAGTTTGCATTATACATAGATACATATTAGGAATGTTAATCCCGGGATCCCGGTCTTTTTTAAGGGATTTGTAATTTACACTAGTGGCAATAATAGAAACGCTTTGTGTTGACCAGTTTTGGCTATATTTCTTTTGTTTATTTAATATTAAAATTTTTTTTTTAAATGTGTAGCTCAATATACATATAATACCTTGCGGCAGGCAATTTGCACACAAAAAAATCTATATATTCGCCAAACCAAGGGCCAAATATAGTAAACTTGCGTTCTTAATTTTTCTCTCTGACGCACAGTCGTTGCATTTATATGGGAGAGCGGCCGAAAATACTTTTAATGGACATATCGGGATAAAATTTTTACCCTAAGGTTTGTTAAGAGCATAAACTGTAATATGTAAAAGTTGGCGGGGTTGGACACGCCCACATACAGTCATGTGAAAAATAATAGGGACACGACATTGTGACCTGTTTCGGCTATTTTTGTTTTTTTTGTTTGTTTAATGTTTATTTTTTTTTTATAAAAATACAACTCACTATCTAACAAAAACCATATAAGTCCAAATTTCAAACTTTGTAAAAAAGTTGAAAAATTCAACAAAATTTTAAAACAACACAAACCTTTTTAATAAGAACTTTTAGAAAAAATCTAGGTGTGCAGTTTTATTAAATTCTGGCTTAAGAAATTGCAAGTTTGAAGCGGCTAAAAATTTGCGTTGATTGTTCATAATTTTTTTTTTTTGGAGGATGGTGTTACTATTTGCTTCCATAAATAAAAAAATTGTCAAACATACTTTGAATGGAAGAAAATGCGTGACACCGTCAGGAAAAAAATTAAAAATTAAAACTTGCACTTTCTTCAGCTAGAATTCTGTGGGCTGCATACATAACTTTTTTTCTAAAGGTTCTTATTTAAAAAATTTGGTGTTTTAAATTTTGTTGATTTTTCTATTTTTTACAAAGTTTGAAATTTGGTTTTTGTTAGATAGTTAGTTGTATTTTTATAAAAAAAATAAACATTAAACAAACAAAAAAAATAGCCGGAACTGGTCACAATGTCGTGTCCCTATTATTTTTCACATGACTGTATGTAGGCGTGTCTAACCCCGCCCACTTTTACATATTACAGTTTTTACTCTTAACAGACCTTAGGGTAAAAATTTTATCCCGATATGTTCGCCGACGCCTAGTCTTTTTGAAGACTCAACAAAATCTATTTTAATGAAATGATTTCTTTCTTTTCGAGCCAATTATAAAGATTTTTCAAAACTGCTGATTTTTGGCGTTGGATCTTTGCCAAAACAATGCAAATTTTTTACAAACGTAATTAATACATTTTTGAACCCACACCGATCTGGCTCAAAACCCTCATATTCAATATCTGTCGGTATTGCACCCAGCAAATTTTGAACTTTTTGGGAATGCGTACCGAAATTTTCACGCCAAATCTCAAAAACATGCAATCGAGAAAATACGCAGTGTTAACTTATGCCTAGAAACATTTTGATTTAAAAAATTAGATAAATCAAAAAATAAACACGAAAAAAGAATGTAGAAAATAAAGAGCTTGGATTAGGTTATGGAATACTACGCGAGCCTCTGCAGATCAATGCATCTACACTGAACACTTTTATAATCTTAAAATATTAACAAACAATATGTAAATAAAAATACTGAGGGCCGATAGGGGAAACACACTTAAAACATTGCATAAATACTTGAAAGATGAACCAAGAAACACACAAAATCCTACTTTTCTAAAACAACGATTTGCATAGAACACAACACGAATTATCTAAAAGTTTAATTGTAGAAATTAAAGTCAATACCTTTATGTACAATATCCATTGCATACAATTTTAACTCACTAGGCTTTTCACAATATTTTAATTACGTTAAATCCAAGTCAATTTTCAGCGTGCTGACGCTGTACAAATAAAATGAACAATTGATGACAGTTTGTTGCTTTTTTCAGAAACAACCGTTAAGACTGGTTTTCACTATGCCATATTTTGACACGATATGTTGGCGACATATTTTGACACAACTTTATCTCCTTTATCCATACCTTTGCCGATGAAATTATGGGCCAAAAACTGCCAGATAGCCGATTTCGAAGCGCATGTACACGACTAAAGACCTATCCTGATCCAAATCAATCGATAAACCGCTTTTTGATTTCATTTGACAATGTGTTTTCACTTATTTGACGACAAATGCCACTGAATTTGACATAGTGAAAACCAGCCTTTAGAATGAAACCAAAAAATATATGACAATATGAAGTTTGGACAAAAAACTGATTGCAAAGCCTATTTTGGTGCAAAAATTTTTACATACATTTTTTTAATTTTGGCCTATGGCAGCAACCACTGTGTCACGTCAGGATTTTTAAAAAGAACTTTGAAATTTGAAATATACGAGTAATTCAAAAAATGATTTAAAAATTCCAGTGCAAGATACTTAAGAAACCAGTATTATATGGGTATCAAATGAAAGAGAAGGTTCTGTAGAGTTAAAACACATTACATTTTTGGGTCCGTAAGGGATAGGTAGGTATTGAAAATACCCCTTTATAATTTTATCATTAAATATCTTTGAAATTTTTTAATTCTTATTTTTGAAAAAATTATATGTTATAACTTTATTAACTTAAAAAAATAAAATAGATTGAAGGGGCATTTTCAATTCCTATTCGTCCTTGTGAACCCAAAAAAATAATTTCATTTGGTTGTAGTAGTGTTTTACATCGCACTGAATTTTTTAAAATAAATTTTGGAAAAAACCATATCTTTGAAATTATAACGAGCCCTAACCGCCAAAATAACGTAAGCGACATTTTTTTTTTAATTATCTCTTTGATGCAGATATGCATCCAGATGCTCTAGGAATATTTCTGTATCAAAAAGAAAATTTTGAAAAAAATGTCGCTTACGTTATTTTAGCGGTTAGGGCTCGATAAAGACTTAAAAAAAAATCATGCCGTCAAAGAAATGCTAATTTATACATATACAGTTAATTACACAGTAGGGAGGCAACAATATCACAGCTAAACGGCCAAATACGTAAACTTAATTTTGACCTCTAGATTATGATGGCGTTTTCAGAAGATCCGTATCACGTCAAAATTTTGAGATATTTAGGGGGGAAGTTTTAGAGTTCTGAAAGTGAATTTTTCGTCGTGTAAAACACTGTGCTCAGGTTTTGAACTTTTTTCTGGGCAAAGGTTTTGATAACTGATCTTACTTAACTGGGATCTTTTAAATTCAATGGCGTCCTCCATTTTTCCAGATTGGCTTTAGTTTTCGAGATAACGGTGCTTGAAAATCTGCTTAAATTTTAGGTTTTTTTTTAATAATTACCTCAGTTTTAAGGTTACTTTACTAAAATTTTGCACGTGACTGTATTTTGATATTACCTTAGCTATTTCTGAAAATCATGGAAATCGGTTCACTATAACATATAGCTCCCATACAACTGATTGTTCAGATATGTGGTTTTGCGTTACAACTCATATTTTATTTCGTAATATTTTTTTATAATAGTAGTTTATACACTACTTGGACCTGAATTTGGGTTCTTTTCAATCCCACTCTGGCATATGTTTGCAGTTTCTGTTGTACGAATGGTTTTTTAATACCTTTTTTGTACTGTGAAAGCTGTTGTTCGTTAAAGTCAAAGTGACTGAGNTTGTTGTTTGAATGGCTTTTTAATACCTTTTTCGTACTGTGAAAGCTGTTGTTCGTTAAAGTCAAAGCGACTGAGTAATGCTTTCAAACAGACGGCGGTCTATACCGCGTCTATTTGACATAAGTTGGGAATCAAAAAACACAAACCGAAAATCTACGCGCGCGGTTACTGTCATATTAATTGATAAAAAAACATCGAAAATTTTGCGAAAAACTTTTATTCATCATATCATTGTCTTCGGAAACTCCTGAAGATAAAAAAAATTAAAAAGCTTTGCAATAAATTAAACAAGTTTTGTTTCGTTTGTGGTAAATTCGTTTTGAAATCAAACCAGCGTAAATTAGTCTCAAATAAAAATGCACTAGCATGCTATAAATGGTACTTTTTGCAATCTGAACCTGCACTCCCGAATTCACATGTATTTCGTGCATTAGTGCGATGAA